GGAGAACAAGCAATACTGTGATCACAACCTAGCAAGTGTAAGCATGCAGGTATATGTATAGAGATCACAGTACAAGCAAAGTCAAGAAGTAAGCAAGTGAGGCCTAGTGGGCACAAGGCCTAGAACAGTACAGAAACGCTGATGATCACAAGGCTGAAGTGCCTTGGTGAAGACATCAGCAGTGTTGGCCCGAGTAGTCACGTAAGCAAGACGAAGCTGACCACGCTGCTGCAACTCCCGAGCAAGGAAGTAGCGCAGAGCGATGTGCTTCGTCCTGTGCTCTAGTCTGTGCTCCTGACACAAGGCAATCATGGCCTTGTTGTCGACGTACAGCACTGGAGGAGAACGAGGCGGCTCTCCCAGGTCGGTCAGCAGGTAGGTGAGCCAGCGTAACTCCTGTGCAACCATGGCCCCTGCGTAGATCTCAGCCTCACAACTGGAGCTGAGAACAGAAGACGAGCGGGTAGACCGCCAAGAAACAAAGCCGGAGCCAAGGCTGAAGGTGTAACCCTGTGACGACCGCTGCGTAGCCAAGTCGTCAGCCCAGGAAGCGTCCGCGTGACCAGTGAGGACAACTCGAGCCCATCCTCCAAGCACGAGCCCCATGCCCGACGTACTGCACAAGTAGCGCACCACCCTCTTAGCGGCATCCATGTGCTCCTTCCGGTGTCTCCCAGGAGCGACATAGCGTGCCAGAATGCTAAGAGGGTAGGCAAGGTCAGGTCAAGTGCAGGTCATCAGGTACATGACGCAGCCCACAAGCTCTGGGTACAGACCACTCGGCTCTACGGACTCGTCCGAAGGTGGAGCTGAGAGCGAGTGGCGAGTAGGCAGAGGAGTGTGCTGTGGCGAGGACTACGTGAAGCCGAAGCGCTGAAGGACCTGCTGCACCATGTGTGACCGAGTCAAGGTAATGGTGCGCTGTGCTCTGTCCCGGGTGATCCGCAAGCCAAGATAGCTGCTCAGCTCACCCAGGTCTGTGCACGTGTGTCTCTTCTGCAGCTCCGACTTCACGTGGGCGAGTCCCTGAGTGTCAGCAGTAGCAAAGACCAAGTCGTCAACGTACACGAGGACGTAGAACGGCGGCAGAGAGGTGTCGGTGCGTAGAAACAACGACGGGTCAGCAGTGGAAGGAGCAAACCCAAGAGCCGCAAGTATCGTCCTCAGTGTGTCGTGCCACTCACGGGGCGCCTGGCGGAGACCGTAGACTGGCCGCCGGAGGCTCCACTGGGTACCAGCAGGAAACGACCTAGTGAAGCCAGGTGGGCGGCGCAGCCAGATCTCCTCGTGCAGGCTGCCCTGTAGGAAAGCAGTGCTGAATTCAAGAGAGTGAAGCTCGTAGTCACGCTGAGCGGCAACGTGCAGCAGAACCCGAAGAGTGGTCATCTTCGGGGTAGGGGAGAAGGTCTGGAAGAAGTCAACTCCCTCTCGCTGACTGAAGTCTCGTGCAACGTAACGCGCCTTGAAGACAGGCGGAGAACCCGACGGCCGCTTCACCCTGAAAATCCACATGCCACTGACGATGTTCGCCCCAGGCGGGGGAACCTCGTCGACGTAGGTGCCCGTGGACTTCCAGGAAGCCATCTCTGTGTCCATGGCTGTCTGCCACTGAGAGGAGTAGGGACCCTCTATCGTCTCTGCGTAAGAGCGCGGGGTCGGGATGTCTGGTGCATCCGGGTCTCCCTCAGGTGCAAGCAGCATGGACACGAGATGAGGTAATGCAGCGGCAAAGCACTCAAACTCCTCCTGTCTGTCCTCAAGGACGTCCGTGCCAAGAGCACACTCACCCCCGACGGACGGAGGACAGACAGACTCAAACTCAGACTCAGCAAGAAGACTAGTGGCGTAGTCTAGACGACAGGCGGCAGCAAAGTCAACAAGCTCAGCAACTAGAGCAGACGCAGCAGTGGACTCAAACGAAGGGTCAGTGACAACAGTGGCCAGGAGACGCGTGACAGTAGGACTAGCAGTACGAAGGAAGTCAGACTTCGGGTCCGGACCGTCAGGAAGAGAGGACGCAGAAGGAGACGGCAGAGGGACACGCTGTGGAGCAATGGAAGGACGAAGTGCCATCAGGTGTGTGCCGGAGACAGCAGGAGGACGCTGACGCGGAACACGACGACCAGTGCGGACAGCGCGAACAGGCGACGCAGGACGAGACTCAGGGGACGCAGGACGAGACTCAGGCGACGTAGGACGAGACTCAGGCTCACGATGCTCCGTAAGACCTCTAGTCGGCCCAGAGTAAGGAGAAGGACCAGGCAGTGGAGAGGCTGGCTGTAACTGCGACTGCGACTGGTCAAGCTGTGGACTCAGTAAGGGAGGAGTAGGACCAGTAGAAGGCGGGAGGCCAAGAACCTGCTGAAGGAGCGGAACGTAGTACGGCCGCGGCCGCGCAGCGCCTCCAGAAACAGTAGAGACAGCACCAGTACCCCGTCTCCAGCTCCAACTCCCGCAGCACCACCAGCTCCAGCACCTCTAGTAGCCCCAGCTCCGGCAGCACCTACAGCAGCAACAGCTCCAGCGCCTCTAGCTCCAACTTCTGCAGCACCACCAGCCCCAGCAGCTCCAATACCTCCAGTACGAGCACCTCCGGGACCAGCGGCTCCAGCACCAGCAGGACCTTCAGCAGCTACAGCTCCAGCAGCACCTCGCTGGAGTCTCCAGCGGCGAGCAAACCACTCACGCAGCTGCGGTGGAGAGAGAGGCTCCCGCCGCGACGAGGCACCTACACGAAGTCCAGTAGACTGAGCACCCCCAGTCTCAGCAACCGCAGGCTCAGCACCCTCAGGCTCAGCACCTCCAGGCTCCGCACCCGCAGACTCAGCACCCCCAGGCTCAGCACCCCCAGGCTCCGCACCCGCAGACTCAGCAACCCCAGGCTCAGCACGCTCAGGCTCAGCACCCCCAGGCTCCACACGCTCAGGCTCAGCACCCCCAGGCTCAGCACACTCAGGCTCAACACCCCCAGCAGCACCACCCCCAGTAGTAGCACCAGAATCAACCGCGACCTCGACAGGCTCGACAGCGTCTACCTGGGACACACCTGAGGGAGCAGGACCCTGAGGGTGGAGGGGGTTTACCGGAGGAGGACCTGGTGCAAGGAAGAGCGGCGGGGGGGGGAGAGAGGCAGTGTGGTAGGGGAAGAGACGGTAAAAGGGAACCAACTCGTCGAACGTGACGTCCTGAGAGGGCAGGACACGGCGCGAGGTGGGGTGGTAAAACTGCCAGCCAGGCGCGTCAGGGACAAAGCCAAGGAAGACGCAGGGAATAACACGGGCGGAGAGCTTGTCCGAAATATCTCAAAATCGTCAACTATTATTCTGGACAGAAACGTCGCGCTCACAAGAAACGCCGTCGACGAAAAACGCACTGTTCAAACTTTACCAAGTTTGGATATGTTGTAGCCCTAGAGCGTAGCTACATTTCCCAAGTTGAATCGTATCAAGAGGTGAAGTTTATCTTGACTTATCAATTTCGGCGCACAGGGGGGTATGCTGCCATAGAATCTTAACTCAATCACAAGAGTCTCACAAGATTACACAAGAAAGTTAGAGTAGCTAGAAACCAGGTAGGAGGGAAGAGGAGGACGAGAGGAAAGGTCCCAAGGAAGTCCCCAACCAAGGAAACCCCATGCCACACAATTCCCCTTCCTATAGCAACCCCACTTTCACCTTTGTCACTTTCCCAACCTCCACAATCCACCTCACCCAAGTTGGCCACACTTGCCAACCTGGTTTGGCTTCACCCAACCACTTGGCAGCATCTACAGTGATGGGTACGAATTTCCCAACCCCCAAAAGTCTGTACCCCATATTGAGTCACTTCACAACTTCCCAAAGTCGTCGCATCACAAACAAATCTTTGAACGATCATAACTTCCTCGTTCTTGCTTCGATCGCGACGATTCTTGGTTCGTCGGAAAGCTCTTGAGCAGAGGAGTCACTTCAGATATCTGCTCAATCCAAATATCATTCACACACACTCAGAGAATCCAAACCACAGAAAACACAAATTCTTGCACATGCTCGCACCACGCATGCAACGCACGAACATATGATGGGAGGCAGACAGACGTGAATGCAAATGATGGCATCACATAACACGTCAGGGACAAATCCAAGGAAGACGCAGGGAATAGCACGGGCGGAGAGCTTGTCCGCGGTAGTATCGCGGACAAAGGAACGAGAACCCAGACCCGAAACACTGACGCATCGTCAACCTTTCCCGTCCAACGCAGTGTGGGCGAGGACTCTGGCAAGGAGACACGGGGCCAGAGGTTGAGCTGATGCGCAGCGTATCGGACCGCAAACGGCCACAGAAAATGGGGGGCAGCCGCATAGACCATGGAGGTACGAGCGACCTCCATGACTAAGCCAATGCGGCGCTCAGCAATCCCATTCTGCTGCGGTGAGGCCGGGAGCGTGAACGTCTGGCGAATGCCCTTCCCACGACAAAAGTCCCGCAGAAAGTCAGAGGCAAACTCACCACCTCTGTCAGAGTGCAGACGTAGGACGGTAAAGTCCGTCCCGAACCGCTCGCGGAGCTGGAGACGGGAAGCGCGGATCCAAGGGGTCAGAACATCAGGGACTCACCCTTGGTGCGCAAGGGGAAGATCGTGGTGTAACGCGTGTAGTCGTCAACGACCAGCAAAAAGTACCGCTCGCGGTCCTGTCCACGAATGCGGGCTGGGCCCCAGACGTCCATGTAGAGGGTCTGCAGCTAAGTTGGATCTTACGTTTACGGACTGTTACGTTTTCGCTTATTTACGACTTTTTTTTACGTTTACGAACGGTTGCCTGGATTCGGCCTTACGTTTACGGTCACCTGAAAACTTTTTTGGCCTGCTTGAGATAAAAAAAAAAAAACAAAAAAAACCAGAGTACTAGGGAGACTCATTTTGTAGGCATCATGTCAAGTTTGAAGAAAATATAATCTCCTAAACATAAAATCCAGTTAGAGCCAGCACACCATCTCTACTCCTCTTCCTCCTCCTCCTCCTACTCCTCCTCCTCCTCCTCCTCCTCCTCCTCCTCCCCCCCCTCCTCCTTCTCCTCCTCATCCTCCTTCTCTTCCTCTTCCTCCTCCCCTTCCCCCTCCTCCTCCTCCTCCTCCTCCTCCTCCTCCTCCTCCTCCCCCTCCTCCTCCTCCTCCTCCTCCTCCTCCTCCTCCCCCCCCCCCTCCTCCTCCTCCCCCCCCTCCTCTTCCTCCTCCTCCCCCTCCCCCTCCTGCTCTTCGAAGTATGCCTCCTCGGGGATGTCATCATCGTCGAGCGGTTCATATGAATCCCGCTGCTGCTCCTCAATCTGGATTGACTCATGGCCAGGCTTGAAGAGTCGCTTCTCATGCTCCTCATGCAACTTACACACAGAATTGTAATTGTGTGTCACGTAGACAAGGTCTTCAAGGCGCTTGGGTCCAAGGCGGTTCCGCCGGGTGGTGTGGATCGACTCCCAAGTCCCCCAATTGGTTTCACAAGCCGAGGCGGAGACACATTGCTTGAGAACCTTGCAAGCCATTTTAGCAAGGTTGGGGCACTGATCCCCACTGAACTCCCACCAATGTGTTGGATCCAACTTGCCTAACTTCACGAGCTCAAGATCTGCCCGTGCCTTAGGCTCACCGATGGAGCCTTCTCCTCTCACATAAATAAGCACCTCCTCAACAATGGTCGCCATCGGAAACTTTGTGCCGTCACTATCCACCACATACTCACCCTTGTAGTAATCCCGAATGAATTGCTTGAAGATTCTAGAGCACTCGCTATCCCCTCCAAAGATCTTCTCATATTGATTTGGCGGATATAAAATGCGACCTGCCACGTGTAAGGCGCAGTTGATGTTCTTGTTCCAACGACGACGCACGGCTCCCAAAACCCACTTGCTCTCCTTAGACATTAGGCAGCTGCACGCCCCCTTCATCGGCTCCTCTAAATCCAGCATCATATCATAAATCTTCCCCATAATCTCCTGATTCCCATCGACTGCCCTCAAGAGAATGTAAATCGGCTTCATGACACACACGACCCTCTCCACGCCCTCCCAAAATTTGTCATTCCTTGTCACGGAGCGTGCATTAATCATCCGCTTCTTCCCATGCGCATTTGCTGCCGATCCCTGGGTCCGCACCATTTGATCAAGAACACGACGCACATCTAGCAAACGATGTAGCGCAATGTAATTCGTTCCGAATCGAGTGCCTGCGGACTTGAGTAGCACAAGAGAATTCTGCTCACGAAAGTAACCCGTGATCCAATTTGAGTTCTTCAAAGTCGAAATCAGATCCTGCGCCATGACAATGACATTGGCAGCCCATTTGCGCCCTCCAATGTCTTTCATCAATTTGTTGAGAGAGTGAGCCGCACATCGGATGTACTGCACCTTTGGAAATTCAGCCTTGACAATGTTGGCCGCACTGATATTGTTGCTTGCGCCGTCCATTAGCAGCCCCACCACATTCTCAGCTCCAACCATTCCGATGGCTCTCTTGAGGTGTGTCGCAATGTATTCGCCACTCTTCTACTTTGTACCGCAATCAACGCCGAACAAGAAGACAGCCCGCTTAGTGTTCACGGCGAGGAAATTCATCTGCGGGCGGTTTGAAGAATCTGTCCATCCGTCAGTAGCTATGCTCACGCCCATATCGCTCCACGAAGCTTTGATCGGTTTCAGCGCGTCATCCGTGCTATCCTTGCAATCTTGCAAGAGGCGACCCATGATAAGCTTCCTACTAGGAGGCGGAAATCCAGGACCAGCTGCAGCCACTTTCCTCAACATACTCTTGAAAGCGGAATGCTCGGCCACATTTGGGGGGATGCGGCAAACGTGGAAAAACGTAGCTACCGCTAGCTGTCCGCTTGCGAGACTTGCAGCTGCAGGGCGACAATCGAACAACGTCTTCTGATTTGCTGCACGCTTACTGCTAGGTGTAATACCGCCACTACTACTAGGAACGGATCCGCTTGTCTCCTTCATAAACGCGTCCATCGTGCGCTTTGAGGCAATCCGCTTCGCTTCCTGCGCACTAGCCTTGGCGGATGCTGCTTTGCGCACTTCGGCAATCACCTCCTCTGGTGCTTTCTTGCATGCTTTGATGTCCTTGCTATTACCAAGGATATGCGCCTGCGCACGAGTAACGTTAAGAACCCACGTCTTCTTGCAAAACTTGCATGCCTTTTCCGTCGAATCTGATGGAGCCCCAACAGGTACCACAAAATGCTTCCAAACTGGGTGCTCATCACTAGGAGAATCCATGGATTAAGAGTGTTGGTCTAGAAAGCTAAACGCAAGCTACGGCAAGCGGTCGAAGTTGAGCTCTAGGCTTTGAATCTGAATTCTGGGTTCAGATCTAGTTTCGACAAGGTGGGTGTGACGAGAATCTTATCGCTTTGTTGAGTCGCTGGGGCCTGTGATTGGTTGGATTGGAATCTGAATATGCAGTTACAAATTTTTCGATTTCACCAAAGGGTCTTCGCCAAACAGCGGAACAAATTGTAGCTCACTGTCAGAGATAGCAAGCAGAAATTTAGAACAATGAAGAGGGTTTGCACTAGCAGGCAGTTGAGTACATATAGGAAACCCTAATTTGGGTTGTACTCGCTATCAAGTAACCCACTGCAGGCTAGACAAATATAACATTCTGACACACCCCCATAGCCAAAGTGGGGTGTAACCAGCACAACAAGCATGCAAAGCAGTAGTTCACAATGATAAGCAAAGCTAGAGGCTATCACAGAGGGCAAGTGAGGAGGAGGAGGGACTATGAGAGGAGAGGAGGTGGTGGGCGTCAGCTGAAGCTGCTGGCACACGGCGCAACTGGAGCAACAGGCACACGGGCAACTGGAGCAACTGGCACACTGGCAACTGGAGCAACTGGCACACGGGCAACTGGAGCAACTGGCTCCGCGGCTAGACGAGCGGCAGGAGCAACTGGCTCACTGGCGACTGGAGCAACGGGCTCGCGGGCGACTGGAGCGACGGGCTCACGGGCGACTGGCACAACGGTCTCACGGGCGACTGAAGCTGCTGGCTTCACGACGGCCACCCCCTTTCAACCTCCCCCTTTGTCCCAAAACTCCCGTTCACACCCCCTGCTGCACCCTAGCATCACTCCCACGACACCCCCTAGCACCACTCCTTCGGCTCCCACACACCCACCCCCCTCAGCGACAGCTGCAGCAGTGGGAGACGGAGGAGGAGGAGGAGCAGGGGACGGCGCACACACCCGTCACCCCCATACCCGCCACCCCCGCACTCGCCACCCCCAAACCCTAACACGGGCAGCACGGGGTAGGAGCGCAGGCAGCAGCGCGGGGGACGGCGCGCTGCAGGAGGGGCAGCGCGCGGGGCCCCCGAGGGCGCCACGGCGGGTGACGGGAGGGGGGCCGCGCGCGGGCCCCCGAGGGTGCCGCGACGAGGCGACGGGAGGGGGCGACGCGCGGGCCCCCAAGGCGCCGCGACGAGGCGACGGGAGGGGGCGACACACGGGCCCCCAAGGCGCCGCGACGAGGCGACGGGAGGGGGCGGTGCGCGGGCCCCCAAAGTGCCGCGACGAGGCGACGGGAGAGGACGGCGCGCGGGCCCCCGGGGGCGCTTCGACGGGGCAGGTAACCGCCGCGCGCCTCGGGGCGCACGGCGGGCAGAACACAGACGCGCGCCCCGAGCGCTCGGCGGGCAGAAAACCGCCATGCGCCAGGAGCGCGTGGCGGGAAGAAAAAACGTCGCACGCCATGGGGCGCGCGACAGACAGGACAACAGCGGAAGCTAACGGTGGGCCCACACGCTAGGAGCGTGACCGCTCTGATAGCATGTCAGAGATAGCAGGCAGAAAGTTAGAACAATGAAGAGGGTTTGCACTAGCAGGCAGTTGAGTACATATAGGAAACCCTAATTTGGGCTGTACTCGCTATTGAGTACCCCACTGCAGGCTAGAAAAATATAACATTCTGACACTCACTGCAACCCTAAAGTGAAATTCGCCAACCTTCGCAGGCGCGACCTAGAAATCTCGCCGTCTGCACATTCGCCACTCCCAACCCAACAAACAAATTTCGCCAAGCGCAAAAAACTGCCTCTCACACCGCCTCCCTAACACAACACGATAGTCTCTTCTCCCTCCCACGCCCACCTAGTTAACTAATCGATGTCAAGCAACCTAGCGGCTTGTCCGTATCCTACCTAGCGACCCGATCGATGTCAAGTATACGTTGAATCTGCAAGTTTCACAAGGTCACGAAAGACGCTGCATGCATACCGCGCTGAAGCAGCCACCGCAGAAAGGCACGGATTAGTAGTAAGATCTTTTCGTAAATCATAATCTATAAAAAAAAATAGTTCGCATCTTTTTTTTTTCACCTGCCCGCCTCAGAATTACGCGTACGTTATCGTTCGTAATCGAAATCGTAACATTACGCGAAATTTACGTTTACGGGACCTGGAAAAACGTAAGAGCCCAACTTAGGTCTGCAGGGGAGCAGTCTTCGGGGGAAACGAGGAGGAGTGAGGAGCGGCGCGCTGCCGCCCCTCGACACAGGGAAGACAGGGAGGAGCAGGCGAGGGTGGGAGGGGAGGGAGAACCCTGGGAAGACCAGAGACAAGGACACGTCGGTGCATGCCACGAAGGCGCTGCACCGAGGGGTGACCAAGACGATGGTGCCAAAGGACAATCTGGTGCGACAAAGCGCGACACGAGCAGGGGGGCGTTAGCTGACCTGACGCAAACGCAGACGCAGACGCAACTACCTGAGGGGACACAGTAGTCAGTGTGTACAGACTCGAGCCAGGCGCTCTGGTGGACGTGGCCAGGTGCCGACCAGTCCGGGAGCACGTACAGTGGGTCACACGCTGACCTCCAGGAGTGAACTGGTCAACCCACTCATCCTGGAGGTCAGCTCCACTCACCAAGTTCGTAGAGAACGAGGGGAGGTGGAGACCCGACAGTGAGCCAGACGGGACAGCCGGACACGGCAGGACCGTGGAGGAGTGCGCAAGGACGGGGCCCCCAGAAGGGTCCGCCAGGGAGACTGCAACTGGCCGACTGAGCGGCGTGAGTGTGGTGCTGTCGCGAAAGAAGGAGCGGGAAGCACCAGAGTCAAGCGTGAAGGTGTGCAAGGCCTCAGCAGGCGCAGTACCAGAGAGAGCAGACTCACCAACACCTGGAGCAGCAAACTCACTAGCACCTAGAGCAGCAGCCTCACCAGCACCTAGCGCAGTAGACTCTATACCTGGGTCGGGCGGCACACACAGGTAACAGTCACCCTCAGCACTAATAGTCACAGCATACATGGCAGCAAGGATAGCATCATAGTCAAGAGCAAAAATATCAACATTCTGCCTAAGCATATCAGCCCAGCTAGGGAGCTCAGGAGCGTCAGGAAACTGTGTGCGCCAGGCGTCAGACAGGCAACCGAAACAGCGATGCGACGTGTGTGGCCCTCCGCACGTCTCCCCACGGCGCCCGCCGGTGCGGAGAACGTAAGTGCAAGGACCAGCACCCCCAGACCTCCCATGCCCAGCGTACCACTCACGAAGTTGCTGGGTCGACGGGGTCTCACGGGAACGCGGCTGCTGCTGACGCTGGCTGCCGCCGAAGCCTCCACGCTGCACGGCTCCACCCCGACCAGCACCACCGCCGCCGCCACCTCCAACTCCGCTGCCACTGCCTCCACCACCGCCGCCGCTGCCTCCACCACCGCTGCCGCTGCCTCCACCACCTCCACCGCCACCACCGACGCCCCCACTCCCGCCACCACCCTTGCTTCCACCCCCACCCCCTCCGCCTCCTCCACCGCCACGACCGCCGCCCCCGCCGTCCCCTCCACCACCCTTGCCCCCCTTGCCCTTGCCGTAGCGGCGCCTCCCACTAGGAGCAGACGCAGCCCCGACCTCCTCGGTGCCAACGAGGTCGACAGCGGCAGCAGAAG